CTTTGTCCTTAACCTCTGACATCAAGATTTTTTTTTCATTTCAGTTAGCAGCAGTTGATGGTGTGAAGGTAGAGAATTTTTTTTCTTCTAGTTTTTCTTCTAGTTTTATTCATTATTATTATTCCATTGACTTAAAGTGCTGTATAAGTTTAAGGTATATAGCATAATGATTTAACTTACATTTATCATGAAACAATTACCACAGTAAGTTTAGTGAACATCCATCATTTCATATATGCACAGCATTAAAGAGATAGAAAACATTTTTTCCCCTATCATTATGTTTTAGTTTAGTGAACATCCAACATTTTATATATGAACAGCTTTAAAGAAGTAGAAAAAAAATTTTTCCTTGCGATAAGAACTGTGAGGATTTACTCTCTTAACAACTTTCATATATAAATACAACCGTGTTAATTATATTTATCATGTTGTACATTTCATCCCTAGTGCTTATTTGTCTTACAACCGGAAGCTTGGCCCTTTTGACCACTGTCCTCCAGTTCTCCCTCCCTCTGCCCTCTACCTCTGTAACCACATACTTGATTTCTTTTCCTATGAGCTTTTTTGTTTTTGAAGTCTAACTGACTAACTGACTAACAGCACCACGTTAGTTCTAATACACGGCATAGTGATTTGATATTTCTATGTCTTTTTAAGTGAGCTTCCCTGGTGGCTGAGACGGTAAAGAATCCGCCTGCAATGCAGGAGGCCTGGGTTTGATCCCTGGGTTGGCGCGATCCCCTGGAGGAGGGCATGGCAACCCACTCCAGTATTCTTGCCTGGAGAATCCCCATGGACAGAGGAGCCTGGTGGGCTACAATGTATGAGGTTGCAAAGAGTAGGACACAACTGAGCGACTAAGAACAAGCACAGCACAGCACATGTTTTTAAATGATCACTATAATAAGTGTACTATGGTACCATACTAAGATATTACACAATTGTTGACTGTATTCCCCATGCCCTACATTTCATACCTGAGACTCACTTATTTTGTAACTGGAAGTTTGCACCTCTTAATTTCCCTGATCTTTCTCTCTCCCTACGCCACTCCCCTCTGGCAACCACCAGTTTGTTCTCGGTAATCTATGACTGTTTCTGTTTAGAATGTTTGTTCATTTTACTTTTTTAGATTACACATATAAGTGAAATCATACAGTATTTGTCTTTCTCTGTCTGACTTATTTCGCTTAGTGTAATACTCTCTAGGTCCATCCATGCTGTCACAAATAGCAAGATTTCATTCTTTTTGATGACTGAGTAATATTCCATTTTGCGTGTGTGTGCATATATATGTGTGCATATATATATATGCACACCACATCCATTTATCTGTTGATGAGCACTTAAGTTTGTTTCATATCTTGGCTATTGTAAATAATGCTGCACTTAACATGGGGATGCATATATCTTTTCATTAGTGTTTTTGTTTTCTTTGAATAAAGACCTAGGAATGGAATTGCTGGATATTATGGTAGTTCTATTTTTAAATTTTTGAGGAATCTCCATATTGTTTTCCATTGTGGCTACACCAGTTTACATTCTCACCAACAGTGCATGCTGCTGCTGCTGCCAAGTCGCTTCAGTCGCATCTGACTCTATGCGTCCCCATAGACAGCAGCCCACCAGGCTCCCCCGTCCCTGGGATTCTCCAGGCAAGAACACTGGAGTGGGTTGCCATTTCCTTCTCCAATGCATGAAAGTGAAGTCGCTCAGTCGTGTCTGAGGGTTCCCTTGTCTACACATTGTAGCCGGCACTTATTTGTTATCTTTTTGATAAAGTCAGTCAGGTATGAGATGAGAATTTCTTTAAAAACAGTTTCAATTTGCTGTTTTCATTTGTTAAAGAATCTCTGCTTGTTTCTTCCTTAAGCTTAAGTTTTTTCAAAGAATCATGTATTAGACAGCATGATAAAAGAATTTATCACAAAATTGATAATAATATTACATATTTTATAAAGTAGTGATTTTGACTGTACATGCTATGAAATTTATTACCCTTCATCCCACTCCCAGCTTCCCAAACTCTGGGTTTCCTTGTTGAATTCACATGCATTAAGGAGCATAAATTTAAAGACCTACTTTGAGGGTGAAACTTGAAACTTTTCAGGTATGCCAGATACAATCTCTGTTTCAATTCCATGTGATTGTTGAATTTGTAAACACTGACTCTCAATATCAGTACAACTGGTAAACAGCAGAAACGGGTCATGACTTTATGATGTCAGACAACCATTTATGAAATTTGACTCTTAAAATCGTTTCTATTTTTGAAGTATCTAAGTGTTTCTTTTTGGGTATACACATAGCTCAATAGCTCAACTGTCAGATAAAAAGTATAGTCTTTCAAGTGGCTTTTCCTCCTAAAACACTGGTGTATAATATTCTCCTCTTTCATGTAAATATATCAGTTTTCTTCTCTCTACTGGTTCACAGAAGAGTGCCTGAAATGACCAGGGAGGAATGTGGGATATGTCTGTAGGCTTTAAAAGCTGGTAGTATCTCAGTGATCATAACCTGGTCTTAAATATGTGCTTAGCACATTGTTGATTGGGGGATTTTTGCAGAAACTAATCCCTGTGGCCATAATACACAATATGTAAGTCTCCAGTTAATAACGTGTTGAGTAAGAACAGGCCTGGTATTGGTAAGCATGGGCCTGGGATCATAAGATCCTGGATCCACCACTTATGAGACTGTGGATGGATGACACCATCTCTCCATTTACGTTTTCTTAAAAACTTTTAAGATATGTACAGAAAAGTGTACATGTCATGACAGTATAGCTCTGTGATTTTTTTTTTTTTTTTTTTTTACAAACCAGACACACTCATGTAAAGAGCATATTCACTTCCAGAAACAGGATGTTAGAACACCTAGAAGTTGGGCTGTGTTCCCTTCTGGATACAGCTCCCTAATCCCTACCAAAGATAGCTGCTGTCCTGACTTCTGACTAGATTAGTTTTGCCTCTTTTTGTACCGAGAAGGACTAAGTACTGAGACTTCCCTGGCAGATCCAGTGGTTAAGACTTTGCCTTCTAATGTAGCGAGTGTGGATTCAATCCCTGGTTAGGGAGCTAAGATCCTACGTGCCTTGTGGCCAAAAAACCCAAAAAACGTAAAGCAGAACAATATTGTAACAAATTCAGTAAAGACTTAAAAAATTATCCATATCAAAAAAAAAATCTTAGAAAGTACTGAGAATAATTGAAATTGCACAACGTGTTCTTTTCTCATATTGGGTCTTTCACTCCACATTCATTTGTGAGATTACACCTGCATTGCTGTGAGTAGCTGTAGATAGTTCATTCTCATGGCTTTGTCGTAGTCAATTGTTTGAATCTACTCATACTTTCTACTACTGAAGAACATCTGTATTTGTAGGCACTGGCTACTATGACTAGTTTTGCCATAACCATTTTTGCCAAACCATTTTTGTTTATGAGTTTGGGTGTAGGTAGGTGGCGCTAGTGGTAAAGAACTTGCCTGCCAGTGCAGGAAACTAGACACATGGGTTCCATCCGTGGGTCGGGAAGATCCTCTAGAGGAAGACATGGCAACCCACTCCAGTATTCTTGCCGGGAGAATTCCATGGACAGAGAATCCTGGTGTGCTACAGTCCATGGGGTCCCAGAGTCAGACATGACCGAAGTGGCTTAGCACGCACGCTCACATACCCGGAAGTAGAACTTCTGAGTTGTACGGAGCTGTGTTCCGCTTCCGAAGATCGTGTCAGCACTATTGGAGCTGTGATTACTCTACATTCTTGCTAATACTTCCTGTTGTTTATATTTAGCCATCCTGATGAATATGTGTTTTAAAAATTGGGGATAATAGATTGTACCTTGAAAGGTTGTTGTGAATTCAGTTAAGGTGTTTCTCTTTGCTATCCAATATTGGACTCTTCCTTCGAACCATGGCCGTGGACAACCCTTCTGGGCTTCCATTTCCTAGACTATGAATGAGACTATTGAGCTATAAATAACCCTTCATGTCCTTTTATTTCTAATAATGCTAAGCTCCATAGTTGTAGATGCTTTGAAGGTACGGCACTAGTGAGAACAGATTTCACTATCACTTAAATCTTAGTACATGAGCAATTGCCCACCTCTGCATAGGATTGGTCCAAGTGATGGTTCCCTTGCCTGTCAGTGCACTTCCTCCCCCAAATTCCAAGTTGCATGTATTAGGTAGGACATGGTACTGACAATCTCATGCCTGGGTGAGTAGGCTCGAAGCATTGCCACCCCCCACCCCAAAACCCCTGCCAGAATATTCTTTAGGAAGGGAGTAACCCCACTCCTCACTTCGTCTTTCTATAGGGTTGCTATTGATTGCATTGAATCAATCATCAAGTTTATTTTTGTCATCAGTTATATGACTGGTCTTGTGCTGGATAGGAGCTTTGGATAGAAAAGATGTATGGCCTGTCTAGGAGACCAAAATCCTCAGAAGAGTGTGATGGTTAAGATGGTGGGCTCAAGGGACTTCCTTGGTGGCCCAGTGGTTAAGACTGTGCTCCCAATGAGGGGGTGCAGGTTGGATCCCTGGTCAGGGAACTAAGATCTCACATGCCATATGGCATGCTACAAAAAAAACAAAACAAAACTGGTGGACTCAAAGAGTTAGACGGTGTGGATTTTTATTTCTTTATTGCTACTCTGTGGCTGCTGCTGTTACCCACATTGAGAATTTAATAAAGTCTGACTCCGGAACCCCAATTTCTTAACTATGTGACCTTACTCTTCTGCAAGTTTAATTTCCTTATAAAAAAAAAAATGAGGATAACAAAAACACCTAGCTCCAGGAATGCAGTGAAGTGAGATTGTTTATGTGAAGTAGCAGGGTGTCCAACCCATAGTGAATATACAGTGGCTTATTGTTATTTTGTTGTTTTATGATGGAAAGAATCATTTTAAACTTCCCATGGGGTGGATGATAGGATTGTGGAGAGGAGGTTGCTGTTAAATAAGTGAAGGTTTCATTTATGATTTTAGGTCCTGTCTGCAGCGTGTGTGTCTCATCTTTTGGAGCGAGAGCCGTGACAATCTTCAGTGGCTTCCTGGTGGCAGGAGGCCTGATGTTGAGCAGTTTTGCCCCCAATATCTACTTTCTGTTTTTTTCCTATGGCATTGTTGTAGGTAAGAAATCTGGTCACTATGATGCTTTTCTAAGCTTTGAGAGTTAAATGTTGTTTTAATGAATGACGTTAATGTAAGGAGTGAAAATGCTCAGGAATAATTCACTTTCAACCACCACTTCACCAAAAATTGTTGCTTTAATGAAATGCCCACCCAGTGAATTACAGTATGTCAAGGGATACTTGTGTTTTAACAGTGCACATTATGATTTTTGCAAGGCATGGGAAGGGTTTTTTTAACTTTAGCACTTGTCTCTTTAGCACAACAAAGGAAAAGAGAGAGGGAAGAGTGAAACTTCGATGTCACTGACACCTGCCACTTTTCACTGATGTAGGAAGTGGTCCCTTTCATATCGGTTGGTTGAACAGGGCTGTGTTGAACCGTTTGTGTTCTCAACATCCTGCTGTTCCGCAGTAGCTGTCACCAGGGCCTCAATCACAGGTCATAGCAGAAGTAAAGAGTAGATTTTAAAGCACATCATAATAATGATTGTTTTTGTGAAAGATAAGGTATGAGCAGACAAAACCGAGTGGTTAATGATGATCTTCGTTATAGGAGAGGAAAGGGTACAGGACTCAGGGCTTGAGAACACTGACAGTTTTGGGGGGAATACTTTTGTGATGTATTGTACTTGATGTATTCTGTGTTGAACATCGCCAGACTTATGATTCCAAGGAGCTGTTGGGAATTTTTTAAAAACACCAGCTTTCAAAGTTTCTTCTGAATGTCTTCTTCTAAGTGTCTGAAAGACTTATTTTTCCTTCTAAGTATTAAAAATGTATTTTGTAAACTAGATAGTCACTTTCAAATGTATCATCTCTGTAAATCCAAATGTTCAGCTATTAGATTTTTTAAAAACAATACACCAGTGTTATATAAATTGGAGGGGAATCACAGTTGAAATACAGTGTAGGCAGAAGTTGTTCTAGTTTTTCATATTCAGTTTGAACAAATAGAAATGTGTATTAGTCACATAGAAATAGTTTGTTATTCATTTATTTCTTAATTTTGGCCATGCCACACAGACTGCAGGTTCTTAGTCTCCTGACCAGGGATGGAACCTGGGTTTTCACCAGTGAAAGTGCAGAGTCCCAACCACTGGACCACCAGGGAATTCTTTAAATATTATATTTTAGATTGTAAAAATATTATTATCTAGTAAAATGTAATTGAATATTTGTGTAAGTAATGAAATGGTTAAGAAATGATTTGAGTTATAATCAGAGGAACAAAAGTTATACATCTATAGGAAGATTGACATTTTCCAAAAGAAATTCCAATAAAAGGTTAAACAACCTCAAACATTTGATATAAAGAATGGGTTATTCCTGATTAACATGTTTTTGCTTTACTGTCAGAAAAGCACATTTGATAAATGTATGTTAAGAGCCTATTTTCTAGACAGGAGTTCTGTAGTACCGTCTATATGACATTGGCTCAGAAGTGGTGCCAAAATCCTTAGAACACAGTGTATTTGGGTGGAGGAAGATGTGCCTGCCAATGCTGACACAGCTAGTTAATAGGAGGAGAGGCTGCAGGGGAATAGACTGGAACCGGGGGAAGATCTCATCGCTACATGTGGCAACAAAGCAAAGAGCGCAGCTGGGCTGGACATGGCCCAGACAGGGGCTGTAGTTAAGGATTTTGGTGTTTAAAGACTTCAGGGACAAATTCCAGCAAAATGGCTGGTTTGAATCAAACCTGAAAGAACCTAATTATGTTGACAACCAATATTCTTCTTTTTCACATAGGAATATTCCCCTAATAATAAATGATGGAAATAATAACCTCTAATATTTGAGTTCATACTGTGTGTTCGGCTCTGTGCTTTATATGCTTTATGTGCTTTATATGTGGCTCAGTGGTAAAGAATCTGCCTGCCAAACAGGAGATAGCGTTCTATCCCTGGGTCAGGAAGATGCCCTGGAGAAGGAAATGGCAACCCACTCCAGTATTCTTGCCTGGGAAATCCCATGGACAGAGGAACCTAGCAGGCTCCATGGGGTCACAGAGAGTCAGACATGGCTTAGTGACAAACAACACCACCAACAACTGTACCCTAAGCTCTGTGCTTTATATGGTCTCATTCAGTCTTCATGTGAACACATTTTACAGAGAGGGAAAGTGAAGCTCAATGAAGTGAGATTACTAACCAAAGCTGCAAATCTGGGAGACTTGGGGTTAAATCCATTCAGTCTGACATCAGGTCCTGACCTTTTTTACATGTTTGTAATTGTTTTTAATGCTTTTATAACTCTTAAAGTTTACTTTGAATTTAACTCCAAATACTCAAATTCTACTCAGATCATAATCTAAATAAGCAGGTTACTTAGTTCTTTGAGAACAGGTTATATGTGTGATATTTTATATTACCTATTCACTATAGTGTTTATTACAGTTTAAACCTGTACATGCAAATATGATCATCTCTGGTGTAAAATTTGAAAGTATTCATTGAATAGTCATCTTGAATTCTTTTCTAAAATCATGAAAATAAAAATATTGCTATTTGTGTATGGACATCAGATGACTCCTTGTAGGACAAACCCCTTTTAACATAGAAAATTAAATCATTATGTTATTGGTATGATTTGGGCATTTTCTCCAAAATTTTGGACTAAGCATTTAAAATTTCGTGGGGTTTTACTGTCTCACATGATTTCAGAGTTAAGGTATAGCCTTTGTGACTACATATCCAAAGCTGTCACTGACTTAAAAAAATGATCTAAAGTGGGTGACACCATAGTATTTGTATTGCCACAGATAAAAATGAATTTTTAAAAAGAAAAAATATGAGTGTAGGTTGTCCAAGATTTTATGTGCATTTGAGTGTGTTGGAAGCATATCTAAGGGTGTATAGAAAGACAGAGACAAAATTAACTAACCCCTATAATTAAATTTCAAGTTTTCTGTGGCAATGGAAAGAGCTTTATCAACCAGTACAACTGATTTTGATTTGGCTAATGGTGTTGGAACCTTTCACTAGCTAATCCTGTCCCCTCTCCTCCATGAACCTATGATCTTCTATTCATGAGATAGGATTTGAGGCTTTTCTTGATTTACTCTGGGATTCCCCGGTGGCTCAGACAGTAAAGAGTCTGCCTGTAATGCAGGAGACCGGGGTTTGATCCCTGAGTCAGGAAGATCCCCTGGAGAAGGAAATGGCAACCCAGTCCAGCATTCTTGCCTGGAAAACCCCGTGGACAGAGGAGCCTGGCCGACTACAGTCCACGGGTCGCAAAGAGTCGGGCTTGATTGAGGGACTTCACTTTCGCTTTTTGATTTAATCTGCTGCTGCTGGTGGTGGTGGACTTGCAGATCTTCCACGTGGCTTTTTCCACTTTGGTAACTTTTACTCCCCTGGGCAAAGAGCAATGTGGAAAGAAGGTTATGCCACATATCATGTACGTGGGCTTCTCACGTGGCACCAGTGGTAAAGGGCCGCCTGCCAATGCGGGAAACACGAGAGACTCAGTTTTGATCCCTGGGTCAGGAAGTTCCCCTGGAGTAGGAAATGGCAACCTACTCCAGTATTCTTGCCTGGAGAATTCCAGTGACAGAGGAGCTTGGCAGGCTGCAGTTCATAGGCTTGCAAAGAGTCGAACATGACTGAGCACCCTCAAGCGCCCACACTGCTATTAAACCTGTAAGCACCTTACTGCTCCAGTTAAATATTAGGAATTGGGTAAATAACTGTATGATGTGCCCATGGACTCAGTAGACTCACTGTGAGCAAGACCAGGGCCATGATCCCATATATTCCCTGGCTCCCATGAGATCCCATTCTAAGGGGAGGCCAGTGTCTCAGGCCCCTAGCTAACAGTGCCAGTTCATTTCTGTGCCCTGCTCAAAGGCATCCCACTTTCTCTAGTGTATGATATCTAAATAAGTGATTGTAGTTCTCTTCGGGGAATGATCCAAGATGTTATTATCTCTATATTTGTCATAGTGTTTTTTGCAACGTCTTTTCTTCTGGAATCCTGGCCTCTCCTTCACGTCATGGAACCTGGGGCAGAAAACAGGCCTATGGGGACTTCTCTGGCACCCCAGGGATTAAGACTCTGTGCTTCCATTGCAGAAGGACAGAGTTCAGTACCTGGTCGGGCAACTGGGATCCTACATTCAGCATGGCCAAAACAAAAACAGAAACATAGTCACAATTCTGATTAAAAAAAGAGCAAAGCAAGCTATGTCTGAAGATTGTGTGACTCTGATTTGGCAACAGATTCTGGATCTCTGTGACTAGGAAAAAAGTATAAGCTCAGGAGAGAGCACTGAGCTTTGGGTCAGGAGATACAGGTTCTGTGAGTTTGTGCAAAGCCCTTGATCTCCAATAGTGACTGTCTCCTCATCTGTGAAGGCAAACTAAGAAACCTGCATCACACAGGTCTTGTAAGGATTAGGTGAAATCAAGCAAAATAAAAATAAGATATATAAGAGTGTTGTTGGATTTCAATAGCAAAAAATCAGTTGAACTTTCATTTCAATAATTATTTTGTAATTTCCAATAATTTTCGAGTTTTAATTTCAATAATTAAAAAGTCACTCACTGTAGTAATTATTGGACTTCTTTGCTAGTAGATTATTAACAGTTCTTATCATGGTTGACTTCTTTGTGGTTTTGTTAGTAGGCTCAGAGTATAGGGCTCATAGAATATTCGTGGGATAAAGAAATGGGAATTTAATGAACAATGACACTTTCATCTGTTCCCATTGAAAGCAGGGTATCCAGTTGAAAAGGAAGAGACAGGAAATTATAACACAGTCTAAACTTATAAGTTGAGACTGTATGTTATGAATTCCTTTGAAAAAAACAAGAAAGATTCAGTCTAATGGTAACATATATTGAGCATGCATTCTGTGCAGTATTCTAAGCATTTTCCTCCATCTGGAATGAACTAGATGGTCTCTTAAGAAAGGCAGTATGGCATACGAAGGAGCAAGCACTATCAAGGGTTGGACCATGTGGGTTAATCTTCTCTTACTCACTTGCTAGCCGC